CCGATTCAAATAAAACTCACGCAGATAGAAGCCGAGAGATCAAACATACTTTCAGCGCGCATGTAATCCTGCATAATCTCGCCCTACCAGTCTAATAAAACGTGCACGCGGTGCTTCGAGTTTGCTTCACAATAAAGCTAAATCAATGATTTGTCCAGGGTTTTGGCGCGAACTTAATCCAGGTTTTACATGTGATTAAAGTCCGGAGTGAGGAAGTGTCAAGATGGTTGATGCCATTACGAAAATGCACCATCCGTATTTAAAGTAGAGCAAATAACCAAATTTATATAATATATGTGCACCTTTCTTCTGCTGGTTGCTTTAATTAAAATTATGTATCAATTAATATATAATATTAATATATTAATTAAAATTGATAATATGCAAAGAAATTTGTGCATTTACGTAAGACTTATTAACTTCAATTAAATTTTTATATAATACTACAATATTTTTTTTAAATTTAAAAAATTATAATTCATGCAAATTTGTTGAGCATCCATCGATGTCGTTGTTGGTGTGTGATAACAAACGCGATATGTCACCGATGTCCAACGTCGAGATTCACGGGTGGCAATCGGACTCGCGATCAGCGATCGGCTTCTCGCGATCGAGAGCCTCGCTGTTAAACCTAAAGCAGCAACCCACGTCACTCCGGAATGAATGCCTGGCTGGGTCGGGCATTCTTCAAGTAAATTATAGTCTTGAATGGGTGGCGCGGCGGGGGGTTGGTTGGCACGCGCACCACTGGGGTACACCTGCCCCCCGTAGACATCTGTCCCCCTGTGCGTCTAGCGCTGGAGTCAAACTATGGGGTACGTATGCGCGTATGTACGTGAATATGCTCGTACGTATGTATGTATGTACGTGGTAATACTCCCCCCTTTTCTCTTTCTTTCTTTCTCATCACAAGTCTCTGTTATCGTTGACGTTTTGCGAAACCGTCAATTTTCGCGACACCGATGATTATAGAATAACGGCTGCCGGATAATGTTTCCGGAATTGTTCTCTGAGTATTTATTATAAAATGCAAAATATAAAATAGTATTTTAAATTTTAAGTTATATAGATTTCTTTTCTTATTTTATTATTTTTATTATAAAATTTATTTTATTATAAATTTAATTTTTATTAATTTGATAACATATTGAATAATATTTAATTTTGAAAGAATAAATTAGAATAAAATATTTTTATTTTAGAAATCTAATAAATGCTATTTTAAATTTACAGAATTAATAACTGTTCAATATAGAATCAATAAATACTTTACTATAATAATAATTAATAACAGTTAACTTTTACTTATTTCAATCTCTTAATATTAATAATCAATGCATAAATGCACAGCAATTCGTGCATGCTTCATTCCTCGCCGTTTCATTAATTCCATGATATCTCACGAGAGATGAGGGTGCGACATTAATCCGCAGTCTATTGTAATTAATTTGATGAATCTCGATGATCTGAGGGCAACCGATCGACCGCAACTCAAATAAAGCTTTCCATATTTTAGCCGAACGAGTCATCGCGAATAAAGAAAGCGTTGTGTGTATTTCATAATGTATCAGAACTAGTCGCATAACCATGGCAATGTAACCGGTATTGTTCGTGGTTTACCACAAAGGCCTGCAAATGCCGACTTGCAATGGAAAGCCCTGCTACTCTGCACACATCGCGTCCAAACAGATGCGGAAATACGATGCTTACCGAATTTTCATCCGATGTATGAGTAAGTGCATTTGTACGTACTACGAATGGACACATCAAAACCGCGATTCCAAGGTTCCAAGATTAAAATACAAATAAATTCCTGTTTTTTTTTTATAAATATTACTTCATAAAATATCTGTATTGCAATGTTCAGAAGTGACTCCAATGCATTAGAAATTCAGGATTACAGAAACTAATTTCTTGTATTATTCTCTTCTTTACAAAGTATTTTAAAATTCTCTCTTTATTTCTTTTCAACGATCATATTCCTATTAACGCGATCACTTAGGAAACACAAAATTTGTTAATATACATAATTTCGATTAAAAATGACGTGATTACTGACTTGTGAAGCGAATTGAATTTCCAATTCGTACACGTAGAGCTCTGGCCTTCAGAGGCTATTAATCTTCGATTAAGTGCTCAACGATCGGTCAAGGTAATTTCACGAGTTTTCCTGAATTAGGAAAGACCGTCTCACCCTCTTGACGACCGTGCCCCCGTATACCCATGGCCGATTCGTCGTTCCCTTCGTCGCTGTGCCGCTTTCTCTGTCCATGGGGGGAACCACCGTCTCCGTTAGCCACCAGTATGTCACCGTACAGACCAGCGCGCCGGTACAATAAGGGCCAGCCATGGCGATCGATATGTGCACTCGACGGAAACGACCCAACGAAAGGTCGATCGAAGCGAAATCACTACTTCTGCGAGCTCGCGACACGCAGAAAAATTAACGCACAAAAATTAACGTCCGGAAAATAATGGGAACTCATTATGCATTTTATCTCTCTGCGAAGCTCGCAAATATGTTTTCTGAAGCTGTATATTTTGGTAGAAAAATATTTCGCTTCTGTGGAATAAATAATAAAAATTATATTCTTGTACAAATAATAAATCTATAATTAAATAATTCTTTATATAAAATTAATATATTCTTATTAAATTATGAAACAATTTAATATTTTGTGATATAAAGATTCGTTACTTCTTACTTATAATGTTTTATTATCGAGATATTCAGTATCATAGAAGAAAATATTAAGAGATTTATTCAACTTTTTAAAAGAAATATTATTATATTTCAGATTAATAAAAAAAGTTTACGGATAAAGTTTTCATATATTTTTTTGAAGAAGGCTTTATTGGGACAAAAGTAACAAAATAAGCGATAAAACTGTCTGTGCCAGTTTATATGTTATTATCTTTTTTTTTTAGTAACTGGATGGGATGTAAGCTTTCTGCAAAAACTGATTGAATCCCCCAAAATCCAACACCTTTATAGATGCTGACCGTCTGTCGTGCGCTATGCGCACATTGATATATCGTTCGGATAATGGCGCCATTGAGGCATTACTATTATTGGCGAGATTTGGGGAAACGATCGAGCGTGCTAACGGATTCGTCGCAGCTTGCATGCTGTTTGCAAATAGATCTTGTATAGGAAATTATTGTTTGCGCAGCAGTAGTCTTGATAGATTGGTGCATCTTAGTGAAATCATGCAATTTGTGAAGTCTTCTAAATTTATCTCTAAATTTATTTGTTCGTGCAAGAATTAAATTTTACCATATACAAGAAGTAAAAATAAATTATATGGTCAAAAGTGATTAAAGACTTCATTGCAACTAAAAAATAATCAAAACTATTTTATATAATAATAAAATACAATAATTAAATTTCTGTATTTCTTATTATAATAAATACTATAAAATAAAATTTCAAAGTTTAAATATATAAGCTATATGAGAACTGACACAAAATTACAAAAATTATGTTTAACTTTTATAAAGTAACTATTATTATTTAAAAAATTAAATATATGATTATAAAAAAGTCAATATATAATAATAAATAATAAAAAAAATTATTATAAAATATAAATAATAAATACGTGACATAATTCCTAATTGATTAATACGTCACAATTGTTAATCGTAAGTCAATATTATCACAATGAACGAGTGGATCTTGGAAATGAAGTGAAATTTTCTCGAGAAGTAGACGGAAAAATATTATCCTTCCATTTTGAACGCTTCGAAGAGCTGTTTTGACAGATTCTCTCTCGCTTGTTTTTCGTTTGATCGAACGGTCGAACTCACCTATTTATTTTGCTAACACTTGGCCTTATACTATAAGGGGATATCTATTTGCTCCTGTTATGCAAATTGCTTTCTTCGTAAAGATGCTTTTACATAATAATAAGTAATTGTTCTTTAAGTAAAATTTATGCATGAACTTGAAATTATTATGAAAATATATTTCATTTTTTATTATGCAAATATTTGAAAAAAATTTATAACTATATAAGTTTAATTTAACTATATAATTTTAATTATTATTTGATTTATCACAAAATAATAACTAAAATAGTAATAAAATAAAGTAAAAAATAATTGAAGTCATAAAATTGTATATAAGAATAGCATGAGTGCAAAACTCACATGAGAATGACTAATTAATTGCAGAAATTGATTATTCAGTGCTTACATCGATTGGATGTTTCGTAGTCATGTTTTACGTGTAATCTCTCGGATTATATGGGGATGCAAGTTCAGGAACAATTTGTGATACATCTGCTCTACAATGGCTTCAGCGCAGGACGCGTGTCTTGGCACGTGCTTGTTCAATCTCAAGCCATTATTCCATTCCTGTAAAGTGAATTAGAATATTTTGTTGGGAGAATGGGCTTATGAATTGTGATTTCTAGTTTAGTATAACTTCACTTTTATGAAATAATAATGTAATATAAAAATACAAAAATACAAAAATGGAAAATATTGCAGATTTCTATTTTTCCTATATCGCCTAATTTTAAAATTAAAATCAGAAACTTTACATTTTATTTTAAAATTGTACATATAATGTATCATATAATCTATTATAAAATGTATTATGATAAATAAAATTCAAATATAATATACATGCAGATAAAAAAATCATGACTTGAGTAAAGTTTAGATAAAATATGTTTTTATTCATTAAATATAAATTATATACAATATATATTCCCTGAATCAGTAATTTTGTATTATAATAAGAGCACTGGTCGGCATTATATATATTTTTTAATTATTTTATAATATAACTTAAAAGTTTATATATATTTCTTAAGATTACAGACCTGAACAAAAATGAGATCAAGCAAAGAGATCAACTAAAAATATTGCTGACTAGAACAAAAGGAACGCAGGTAGTACGATATTTGAAATGTAAGAAATCCATTCAATTATTAATTATCTATAATTAATCTTCAATGGTAAATCCAACATTTTCTTTTCGCACTGAAACATTAAATTAAATATTTCTTACATTAGCATAAAAAATACTTTATACAATTTTAAAATAAAAGCGTCATTCTTGTATCAATATTGTACGTCTTAATTATGTTTTACCGCCTTTCTCATTGTACAGCAAAATATGCTTGTTGAAGATAAAAAGCAAAATTAAAAAAGTATATTCTACTAGACTTACACTTTTAGCAAAAGCAATTACAGTCCTAAAGATATCTTTTTCGATAAAATATTTTCTTAGAAAATAGATAACGATAATCATAGCTATGTTCTTTTTTTTTACAATCACGTTAGTTCTTTGGGGAAAACACTCTCTTGTTACAGTTATATCCAATCTGTTTCCTTAGTTAATCTCTTGATAAAAATATTTCGAAGAGATAATTGTTCTTGCGAATCTTTCACTTTTGTAACCGATTACAGCGTAGATGAGGAGATTAGGAACGAATCTATGGATAAAGACAATCAACGTTGAAGAAGTCGGCTCGTTCAAACTATAGAAATTCATCTGCACTTAATCGCCTAAAGACACTGATACATATTGTTGTGATGAGGCATATGATGATGAGGCGGCTGTAATTGATGCTGAGGACGATGGACCTGATACATTCTTTGATCATAGCAAGGCTGGTACTGCATCGGCGGACTCACGCTCTGATCACTGTAGCAATCGTACTCTTGCCATTCTGGCGCGACAAATCGCTCCTGAGGTGGATACGGGAAGCCCGTATGTTGTGGTCCAAGTCTTTTTTGGGCCGCTACCGCGCAGCTTCCGGTTGACGAGGTAATCATGTTGCCATTCTCGCTGATGCTGACGGTGACATTGCCGACATTCACCGTGATTTCACCACTCTCGGAATTGCCCAGGGTCTGCGATAACGCCCAAATGTAGTTGTGTGCGAAACGGAGCGTCTCGATTTTCGTGAGCTTTGTGTCTTCGGGAAAGGTTGGCAAAGCCATCCTCAGACGTTCCAAGGCGTCATTCAAAGTGTGCATTCTGTGACGCTCGCGATCGTTTGCTTTTATCCGTCGGTTTCTTTTTAGTCTCAGCACCTATTTCCAGAATGGAAAATTTAAAGAATCAAAATTTGGTTTTCTCAAAAAAAGATATTAAACTTTAAATAAGCAAATAGACAAAATAAACAAAATAAAAACTTTAGACAAACAAACAAGTTAGTAAGAGTTAGTAAGAGGTTTGTAATTGGATAGATTAACCCAAGATATATTATAGAAAAATTAAAAAATTGTTTTAATGTACTTAATCAATGTATTATAAACTTTTAAATTTTTGTTATTTAGGGAAATTGTATATGTAGAGTTTTATTATTAATTCGCTAGAAATGGAGATACATTACGAATTAATTTATGTACCTGCGTGGGACTTTTGCAACGAGTATTCCGCGTTTTTTTGCGCTTTTCTTCTTTAACCGGAGGAAAGAGAGCATCGGATGATACCTCATGTTTCGGTGATTCAAAACTAACATCGAAACCAGAATCGGAGGAACTTGAGAGTTCATCGAAACCTCCCTCACTGCAAAATGAGTACTCCGATGACATCGCTGTGTCTTGCTGTAAAGCAAAGCGATAAAATAACTTTATACTAATGTTTTATGAATGTACGAAGATTAAATATAATCATAATATGATATAATCATAATATGACTATGCTAAAAGAAGATTGAAATAAAATATTTTTCTTCAAAATATATATTCTTATTACAATGTGTAATACAATGTGTAACAATAACTGTATTTTAATTATTATTTTATTTTATTTTAAATCACACTTTTTTTTATAATTGATAACATTAATTTTTATTTTTTTACAGTTGTCTTAAAAAAATTTTGGCAGAATTATTCTCCAAATACCATGTCAAAATCCAAATTCAAATATTTTTAATACACTTTTAATGAATTACAGATAGAGTAAACACACAACATAGAATAAAAATTGCACTTTTGAAAGGTAAGAACAAATGTTACGTGATTAATGGAAATTCGTATCACGAAGCAACGAGAAAATAAGAATTCACCGAGGAGCAGACTAGGCGGGGTACAATTTGGTACTGTGCATGTGGCAAGGGGCTCTTAGAACATATATACCGTCCCGGGGGTATTTTGTCCCCTCCACGAGTCCAGGGCCACCGTGAGGCTTTATGGGGTACCGAGAGAGTTCACCCCATAATCACCATAGAGGGGTACCTCTAGTATTCTCCCCGCTCCTCTGCCTGTATGCATTAGACGCGTGCCACGACGATGTAGCCACCTTGTTAGAAGATTAGAGGTTTTTGGGATGATTACACCGCTTTTGAGATTATCGCATATAAACGGTCTCCGAATTTACAAGTCTCGAATGTGTTTTTATTGCGTTGAAAAATTATTAATACAATATAATATAATTATTAATATAATTATTAATATTATTATATTATAGAATATTATATTGTACAATATTAATGATATTATACAATATTATTAGTATTAATATATAATTATTAATATAAGATTTATTATATTTAAAGGAATATTACATATACATAACAAACATAACACATAGAAATACATATAATAAAAGTTTAATATTAAAAGCTCAAAAAAAATTTGAGTTTAATATCTTATTTTCATATTAAATTTTATATTAAATTTTTATAGATTATATCTTTGATTCTTAAAACGAGAATTTTACTATAAAAATTAGAATTTGTTTTTTAATTTAATAATTTTTCATTATTAATGCTGTAGAGAAAAAAATGGTGCAAATTGTGAATAGTACTAATATTGTACTTTTCACAATTTGAATTTCACATACCGCCTGTCTATGAAGTAAAACGGGTTAACTATAAACAGGCGTATTTATCTTGGAAATAAAACGTAGCTTTTTTACATATATAATTCTTTCTATATAAATAAATTCTATACGTTAATTATACAGATCAATAAATCTTGTATATTAATATTTTAATATTTATAGCTTTAGTAGAATGTTATATTATTTGCATAAGAGATATAAGATGGAAGATTGAAAATACATTCTTATTACTTACAATTCACAAATTTCTTCGTGAAAGTTCGCAGTCTCGTGGTTATCTAACACTCATGTACAATATATGACTAAAAATAAGTTGCAGATAATCTAATAAAATCAACGATGACCATATGTCGTATACGCTAATCAGATGATAATGTCCAGCGTATCGCTATAGAAACCAGAGTTAACGGGGTACTCAAGGAAGAATTTCGATCAAAACTATGGAATACTATAAGAATCGATTATATCTCATTAGAGTGATTATTTTAATCTTATTTTTATAAATTAAATTTTAATAACCTATTTTTCAAACTAAAATTACGTTATCGTATAAGAATCCATATAACAGAGATATTTTATTTTTATTTTATTAAAATTATAAACTAATTAGAAAAACAGTATGACAAACAAGGATAGTAATATATGCAAACAATAGACATTATTGCATTCATTATAACTTTAGCAACCGAACAAATGCTATCGTGTTGTAATATGAAAGAAGGTATGAAAGACAAGATTATATCGAAGTGTATATCTAACGCATTTAATAGCGCGAGATATTAGTTTGTTCAGGGATCAATGATACAAAGATAAAAACACTAATCAAATTGATTTGTAGGAAGTATTATTATCATCCGTTTTTGACATGTTGATTGGATTTTGGAACGTTTCGGAATGACGTTTTGATGTCCACGTCTACAATCGGTATCAGTAAATTCTGTGCTCTGATTCCTGATCGCGCATGATTCTATCATGAATAATATAAGACCCGGCGCCTACAGTTCTCGGGAACGAAAAATGTCAAAAGCACGTGTCGTCTATTTGCACGAGGATTCCTTATCAGGAAGGATATCACGAAGGATTCACGTACATTTTGAGTGTACTGTCAATAATTTGTCCTACCGAAACAAACAAATCTGCCTTCCGGTGATGATTATATGATTTTTTGACTTCGTGTCTGATATTTGGGATAAATCGCGTGCGAATTGAACAAATGGTAACACGTGTCTATCGGGGGACATTATTGTAAATATTTTTCATTTATTTGCACAATTCCCAACTATGTAAAGTTATATAAGAAAAATTAGAGACATTGAGAGATATCGAAAAAAATTCGTTATATAAATGCCTCTTTTTTAGAATTATTTTAAGAATTCTGTCTTACAATCAGGGTGCAAAATTTTAATTGTCAAATTTCAATATTGTACATGTATGTATATGTATGTACAGTCTTGGAATCTTTGTACATACATTTTTTTATTAAATAAAAAAAATATTACATATGCATTGAACCTGTAAAAGTGGTTAATATTAAGATTATTATTTAACAAAATTATTTTTTTTGTTTATATCGTTTTTTTTTAAATTAACAGATTGCAGAATACTAATAGCCCGCAATATTAATCAATTGAATTGTCAAATAATTTATTAAAATGTATTATCTTGTGTCTGTTCATATTCAGAATGATTCAATATAATTGCGAAATAATTCTTTAAAATTATATTATATCGGGAAATTGCTTGGATTATCACGAAATCGCTTTTCAGATATTAGTTTGCAATCTGATAACGAGTTACAGCGGCATGTGAACTACGTGATTACTTTCGTCGCGCGCCGCAGGTTCTTGCGCTAAATTTCTCTTATGCCATAAACGGAAGATGGAGCGTTTAACGCGAAGGGATTACGGCACCGTTCGATCAATTTGCATAATTGTAACGCTTCCAAGCAGTAATTTTCCGGACGCGTCATGTGTTTACGAACATTGCACCTAGTACATCGACCGACTTGGCACAGATCCAACTTTGATATATCTCACGCTATTCTTCCGAATGCATTGCAACGGTTGAACGTATTATTATTTGCATATAAGAGAGAAGATACCACTTATATTTATATAAGTTAGCTTCTTTTCTGCAAACTAACTTAATTAGACATTCTAAAATACTAATGTAACATGAGATATTTATATAATAATAAGAAAAAGATATATTTCATATTTCCAAGTAAATAAGATAGTAATAATCGTTTAAATAACTTGAAATATGAAGAATAAAGAGTTTAAAATTCTTTTTTCCCTATTTATTTAATAGCGGTAGTATATCTTTAACATAAAGTATGTAAAAGGTTTGTAATTGTTATGATAGGCTAGAGAGAAATAGCGTTATAGAAAAAGAACTTATATAATGTTTTCGTTGTTGTAAAGATTTAACTGCAATGGTGGCTGCAAGAGTCTGAATAAAACCACTTTCTCCTCAGGAGATCATGCCACTATATTCGGCATCATGTGCCTTTGGGGCTACAATGAAAAAAGAGAAAAGGAATAAATGACCGATTATTCAATATTCACGGAGCGAATGTTTACGCGAGTCAATTATTGCAAATGATTTCCTGTGTTGACGACATTTGTCTGATTTGCTTCCCGATAGAAATAGTTTTCTCGCAAAAATTCATGCCATTAAATTATTCACTGCTGACACGCTTTCTTAGGATTTGGTCATTATTATTTCGTACATCACACGTTACTATCTTATGGAGGTACAACAAATGTAACGGACTTATCGAAAAATCTAAGAATATCCGTGTTTGTGTGATTTTTATTTTATTTGTGCTTTTTAAAAGCGCAAGTAGAATTTTAAAATGTTTTTTGCGATTTGGTTCTGTGTCTGATTTGGCGTTGCGTGTTATATGTAACATTTAAAATTAAACAAAAATATAATATATTATTATCAGAAAAATTTCATGGAGCACGCAAGAAAAACCTTTATACCTCTTTTCTAATATATATTTTTTTTGCAGTGTTATTCGCGCACCCTTTGAATCATAGAGCCCCAACCCTTTTCACACTTTGAAAATTCGTAGCGCCGATAAAAGGTCGCCGTGAAATCGATGCCGTTGCAGACACATGTTCGATCGGCCGGCGGAAATATTGGAAATTACACGAAAGATTTGTCCCAGAGGCGTGCAGAATCAAAAATCAAATAAAAAAGGGGCGTGTAGGTACGCCGATCGCATTCGTCCGAAACCGTCAAGCCTAAAAAAAGGGTTCGATTGCGATAAAGGCGATTCGCTCTGATTGGATAATTTATTGGCGAAGTGCAATCAATGAAATTGCGCCAACTGGTTTCGCAGGTATCCATAAAATATTTCTGCAAGTTAGGAAAGAGAGAGAAATCTTTGTGACGTTATTTCTATATATTTTTTAAATAGGAATTGGGAGCGAGTTTTCATTAATAAAAATAATAATTTGGTCATGTTGTAAATTATGAAAATTAATCATAACTCTTCAAGATAATTAGAATCATTTATCTTACGTTAAATGATTAGTGTACATATCAAACTATGTAAAGAAAGTTAACGGACAAATTTATTACAGAGCATCATGATATTTCATAAATAAACAGAAAGCTGTTACGTGCAAGCTACACGAATGCAGTTCCGGAAGTAGTTCCGGAAAGTAGAGTTTTTGCTAAATTGATCACTTATTATAGCTATAGATCGATTTACTATTTGAATAGTATACATTGATATTTATTATAAAGTGAAATTGTTGATTCATTGAATGATAATTCGATAAATGAAAAGACAATTTATTCTGAGGAAACATCATAAACTCAGATGTTCTATTAGCTCGTTTTTTAATTACATTTTTGCAGAAGAATAATTACAGTCTTTCAAAAGTTTCAATGAATAAATAAAACAAGTCTGTAATTCGATTTTAATACAAAAATCATGATTATATCGTATAAATTATGGATATATTTTATTCGTACAATTATATGAATTATTTATGCGAATTCGTGCGAGTGAAAACGAATTGTGTACTAGGTCACTTTTCGCTTCTTCTCGTTACGGTACGGATTCGACAGAAACTCGGGAAGACTCGGACGACTGAAATAGCGATCTTCCGTGCAATCGATTTTCGTGATTATTGTATTGTACTGGAGGAAATCGCCGTGCCGATTTGAAAGGTCTTTCGCACGTGAGAGGCGCGGGAGCGCGTGAGAAGTGGGTTATCTAACTGACAACACCCCGTACTTCATGTAGTTCACGAGAGTTTTCTCATAAGTCGTAACAGGACGCGAACGTCTGCAGAAATGAGTTGCAGAAACAGAGAGGCGGAAAGGGAGAAAGAGAGATGCGATTACGTCGGAAGATGATGCGTTTGCGCTGGCAGACGCGATCTCTCCCACGACGTCTTCTCTGTCTTCCTCGTTGTCTTACTAACGCATGTAATTTATTATCTTACAAACGCGTTGCGCGCGTTGGACGCAATGCGTTACGTGTCTTTTCAGATTTCCGCAACTCCGCAGACATGATATCTGGCCCTATCACGCCCAGGAAATCTAAAATATAAAAATGTATAGAATTAATTATTTAATTTCTCGAATTTTTTGCTCCTTCTTAGCGGATACCCCTGAGCCTCTAATTATGTTTAATTATAAATTATAAGCAATGAGAACCATGTAATTGTATAACATATGATTAATATATATAACATAACATATATAATACATAACTTAATTATAGTAAATTATAATAATAAAGCGAATAATTATAATCATTCATAATACTATAAAAGTTGTATAAAAATTTTACTGTAAAATTACGCCAATTTTTTGTTCTTTATTTTTGTTTCTTTTAATGAATTGTATTTTTTATTAGCCGACTCTCATCTATGCGACTCAGTTATAGAGATATTTGACATAAATTCTCTGGAACAAACAACAAACGAGATAATTGCCGTTTGTTACGATTTCGATAGCATGCCGTGTACGCGATGGAGAGACCCAGAATCCGGTCCGGCCGATCTCCTTCAGCTTGAATAGGTCTTGTCCCGCTTCTACAGAGGAGAAAACAATCTCCGTCCGACTTTAGATATCGGCATGATACTCTATCGTTGAAGGTGGAGTCGCACTCGTCGCGGTCTTTGCTAACTGTATAAATCCCCTTTCCCCGCTCGCTCACGGTAGCGAGGTCCTCCTCTTGCCTGACTGATTTTCTACCTTTCTCTCGTCGTCCTTATTCCCCGATCACGCTACGATTCACGAATACTTCTTTTCCGTGTCCTTTTTATCCCCGCCGAACGAAAGAGCGAGAAAGAGAGGAACGAGAAAGAGCGGAAAGAGAGAAAGAATGGGTGAACAGAACGGAGAGGAACAGAGTCACGTCGAGCCTTCGGCATTTTAACGTTGCTCTTTTATAGCCTGTACACGTTAAACGCTCGCCTTAAACGCGGGAAAGAACCTCTTGAACTATCTCTCTGGCGAGATGGACAAGAACGAGGAACTTGCGGGAGGTAAACTTGGCTGCGGCTTGGTTACGCTTAAATGCCTTCTTTCAAGTATTTAATTGCTGACATTAATTTTTTCATTTCTTTCGTAATTTGTTTCAATTTTATACACTCTAGAAATAATTTGTTAAGAACATTATATTTAAAAAAAATTGATACTTTGTATCTTTGAATTAAACTTTCTAATAAATAATATTTTGATATTTAAATTAGTACTTTAAATATACAATATACTAATGTTAAAAGATATTTATATAAATAATTTATATAAATTAACATATGTTAATGTTATATTGCTTTCTTAATAATTTCCATTTTAAACAGTAATATCTAGTTAAGCAGTAATATCTAGTTTATTAGTCATTAAAGTTGAAACGGTTCTCAAAGAGGTCTTAAAACTATAAGAAGATTTATACAGGAGATAATTGTTTAATTTTTATGGATGCTTTATTAAATAAAAAAAGGTTACTTTCTCTTGAAGCTTTCTCTTTAAAATATAATTATTGATATGCATTTCTTCATTCATTCAGCTTTCGTGCAACTGAAGGTAAAAGACTGGAAGGTAAACTTTGTTTCAACGTGGATAAATTAGATCTGAAAAAAAAATAAATTTCATAACTATCTGAAGTTTAATCAAAGAGCTACATCAAAAGGTCACAATACCTTCAAGATTGCGTCTAGCAAACGAAATGTCAAGAAAACTGATGATGCAATTCCGTTCTCATCATTGATTCGCTTTTCATTATAGCCCCAATCTTTTGCCATTTCTCATTACTGTCAAATCATTTGTCAACCACGTGAGTCATTACATTACCATAAACAACACGAAAATAACTATGATTTGAACCGATGATTTAACTTGTTTCAAAAAATTAATAAATAATCAAGACAGAACTTTTTTACGTTATTAAATATTTGCCACAAAAATTTAATATCGTGACATTTGAGTTACAGAAACCCTATTTATTTTGTACAAATATTTTTGCAAAATATAAACATAAAAATGAACTCTATATCGCAGAAGTTAAAGTCTTTTTTATTTTACAAATTTCTAATTCTAAAAAATTGTTCAAGTCACCTAATCTCTTCGAGACCAAGCGCAACCCTTGGGCTTATGGCTGAAGGAACTATTCCCAAGGGTCACCCAACACTCTCGGTAACGCGAAGAAAAAGACTTGTTCTTCGGGTCGTTGTGTCTTCGGTAGAACTTTACCGAGTACAGTACTATAGGCTCTCTTTACTCCGAGGTGTGCGGTTTCTCTCTCTCTTTCTTGCCCTTCTCTCTCTCTCTCTCTCTCTCTCTCTCTCTCCATACCTTCCATTCCCGTGGTGGAGGCCGCATACCTCCTTAGGATGCAGTATAGACCTATCCATTGGCTGGCAGACACCGGTTGGTTCTCTTTTCGGTCCGGGACGACGTCGACGTCCAATGACACCGAGAGGGTAGAAGAGACACGATCGCGTCTGTTCTTCCTTTTAGTAATCTCTCCGCAGGTGCGTCATGCGGATCCGGCGCGGTTTCGCGGATATGTTTAAGTGAACACAGATTGAATGTTGCGCGGGAATATAGCACGTGCGGTGTCGTGACACGATGAGGTGATAAACCGTGTTGTGCAGCGCGGTATCTCGGAGCGACTTTGGAAGGTAAGTTCTGTGAGCTTGTTGAAAAGCGCAAGATGAATCTTTTGAATTCGTTCTCGTCGGTGGGCAGATGCTAATTGTCGAAAACATTGACCTGGATATTTATTTTCAACATGAAGAAACTGATCTCCGCATAACGGAGAGCCTGCTGAGGATTGATAAGGATCGAACAATTTCGGTTTCTGCAAACTCGGCGTGTCGTAAAATATTAAATAACATTATTTGCTCAAAATTTGCTCATTCCGAAACAATAAAATATGCTAAGTTAGATGGATGCCGCCTTGACTTTTGTTTCAATTATTCAAAAAAAGTTTTTGTGTCTTCATATGTCTTCACTAAAATATGTTTATAACATTTCACTATCATTAATTCGTATTACAAATTTCGTATACCAAAGTGATTGTGTAATTTTCTATTTCTATTCTATTCTAAGTTTGTGTGATTTTATATTTTTATTCTATTCTAAGTCATTACTCTTTGCGTAATTTTTATCTTCATTTGAATACATTGGAGATTATACTTTATATTTTCTAATTATGTTACACATTGAAAGAAAATAATATAATAGAGAAGGACAGATCGAAATCGGATTCTGAACCTAAATACGATTGTAAATCGACATTCATGCAAATCGAGGGATCGAGGTCGTCGATTGAGGATGTCGTCTTGTTCTTCGACGATTTCTTGGCGCAACGGTATCCAGGCTTCTCCTTTTGTTCGGTATCTGTAAAACAGCCTGTTAAAACCTGTATCGGTTATTTAGTTTTACGTTGTAATAAAATTATCAGTTTGACGAGATAACAATTTCAAATAATATTGAAAGATAGTAAAAGATTCTGAATATTTAAATAAATATTTTATATATATTTTATAAATAATATTTTATAATTATAATATATCATAAAAATAATGTTATATTAACTTAACTTGCATTGTGTTCAAATTTTTGAGATTTGATGGACGTATTTCTAAAAATTCCGACAAAATTCCGACATTAATTAAATTAAGAATAATTGACCAGTCTAGAGAAACCACATAAGTCTACTCGAATCCTTATTGTCTTTTTCGTCATTCTGCGAAGAAACCAGTTTGCGGTCTGGCGAAGTTCTGCTTTCAAGGAAGCAATGTTAAGTTCGAGGAACAGGAAAGGCGGGAATTTTTCGACGGTAATTTTCTACGCGGGTACTGCCGTGACTTCCGTCAATTAAAAAGACTAACGATTTTTGGAATTATCAAAGTTGTCAATCCAAGAAGAGCGAGTCTCATATCTGCGAACAAATTATAAATTTTATACAAAAATTCTTATTATATGCTATGAAGAATTGCAAAATATGATTTATTAGATATGATTTACGAGAGTTTGATAAATTAAAAAAAAGTTTTCCTTGTCCTTTGCAAAGCGCGCTGATGAAAGTGAAGATCTGCAGGAAGATAAGCACGCACCAGGATATTCCTTTCCTTCGTCATTCATTCTGGCATCACTTGGTCACGCAGTGTCAGGATTCCAACCGCGTAACGTAACGGTGACCAGAGGAAGAGGGGTGTAACGGTTTTTTTCTTTCTCTCTCACTCTTTCCTCACTTCTGACTTCCTCTTTCGCTCTTTCCTGCTACTTGCCCCACTTGTACTCTTCTTTCCTCGTTTCCCCTTTCCTTCGATTTAGCCATCTGTTTCGAAATTATTTTTGGGATAGGTCTGATAAGCTTGAATCTCATCATCTATATAATTTTAATTAATTCTTGTTGTTGTTTACATCCGTGTAAATAAGAAAGACAAAAATTTCTCAATAACTTGAATTTATTTTTATAAATTGCGAAAGACTGTATAGACAGTTAAGTATAAACAAATTAAAATGTTTAATAATTAGAATATAAAATTCTGTTTTGTTATAATTATTTAACAATAACTGTCTATAACTTATTAATATTCTTTAGTTACTAAAGAAGTATTATTTAGATTACTGAAAAAGAATTTGCAAATAAACATATTTTACAGAAAAATTATATCTTAATATATTATTTAAATTTGTAGATAAATAATCCTAAAGATTAATAATTAATACGTGATACACGTCATTCACACGTAGAAGCTCACGTCATATAAAATACTTGTTGAATACCAAAGAAATTTTTTCGCGCTGAGTAATTATCTTACAAGATATAAAAAAAAACATTAATTAAATAATCGTACATAATTGCAACAAATATAAAAAATAATACAAGTTAATAACTTTGTATCACTTAGTGAAAAACGTTATTAACATAAAAGGATAAGAATTATATTATAAAAATAAAGCAATTATTTTTTTACATTATTTGTAAATCTGTATGTCTCTATCTAATAATTTAAATTTTACAAACATAAGAATACCGACATTCTTGTAAATATAACTGTAACAAACTTGTTTATCGTAAAATTAGAGTGGCAGTAGTTGAAACTATAATAGTAGAAACTATATAATTATACATACAGGTAATTATATAGATCAGCAGTGAGCTCGTGGCGATCTTTCGCAAGCGTTAATTTTCAAACAATTTGTTGCATGAGAGTTGCACTTGATTCCTTTCTCGTTGCACAGCTGCGACCGCAGGTCATCATTCAATCTCTCGGTATCATTTTATACTTGGCTGGCAGTAATGGCCGCTTCTGTTTAAGGTTCTCCGTACATGTCGCAATTCATTCGATTATCGTCGTCACGGTTTTCGCACCTTGCAGTTTTCCGCATTACTCCAAGTCATACAAAGTCGGAGAAACCGAGTTCGTTTCGAGATGCGCTTTCTTTAATGTGCACATTGTTCGTGTTAAATAAGAGTTATGAAATCATAATCGGATCTATTAATTATGAATCAATTGCGTTTTGCTTGTACTTTGAAATTTTAATTGCCTAAAATTTAATATTATTGAATTTACAGAGTTTAATTTTATAAATTTATTTCTTCTCTATTTTTTCCACCATATAATGTTGATGTATAATGTTGATGTATTTATTTATTTTATTTATATTTATTTATTTATTTTAAGTACTTAAAACATAAAAACAACTTTTAATTTTCTAAGTTTAAAGATTTTTTATCAGAATAAATTTTCATTGTTCACGAAACTACATTGACTCACGTTCAACAATCAAGACTAATTGTTCTCCGTAGAGAAATCTCGCTTTCAGAGTATGGTAATTGCAGGTCTGTACTTTCATTGCGCATTCATAGCCGAGCGTCATTACCTGATTCTCAATTTTATTCGTTTAGCACAAAACCAAAGAAGATTGCATTCTATCTATGCACATTGATGAAGTAACAACGATGAGAACTTAGATTTAATACACGCAATACCTTTGCCATTATAATGCAGCTTAAATATAACTAATGATCATAATGATCATATATGAGGGAAAACATATTTCTTAAAATTTTGTAAGAACCTTTAGCATTCAGAAATATTCGATCATCTAAAATAATTATTATGTAAAACTTAAAATTCTTACTAATATCAGCAGATGCAAAAAGAACATATCCAGCATTCGCATCTTTACGGAGCACTGCTTCTCATCCTATAATAAACTTGCTCGTGCGTGCGTTTGTGCGTTATATCTTCGCTGCTGAAGATAACATCTTGCGCGTAACACGTGCTTCCTTCCAGTCGAAATGCATAGGAATAGAGATTCGCGTTCGAGAAACTGTTCTTAGGACGTGCATGAAAAGAAGAGAGCTGCATCGCGTATGTACGGCAGCCGCCGTAATCTTTTTCCTCCGACTGATAGATAATTACATCTTCCGGGGACGCGATTCCCGATGGCGGCTACGGTCGGCAGAACGCGGAAGTCAAGATCGTTTTGCACGCACGAAGGCGTCGAGGAAATGCAGAGCCATTACCCCACGCTGTATGTCACTCTGTTGCTCTTGCTAACGTCATTTCTTCTTGCTGGTGCTTGGTGATATTGTAATCCGTCGTATCTGCCCACGCGACATTAAGGATCAGACGCGGTTCGCTGATGTCGTCTCGCTGCGAACATTACGTGGGAGTAGTAATTAAGAAAATGAGCAATTTTTTTACGACGTAGGTATTTTCAACTATCTATCTTATTTTCAAAGAAATTTTAAGTCTTCATTTCAAATATTTTCATCTATTTAAACATATTTCTTAAAATTTTGTAAGAACCTTTAGCATTCAGAAATATTTGATCATCTAAAATAATTATTATGTAATAATTATTATGTAAAACTTAAAATTCTTACTAATACCAGCAGAGTATGCAAAAAAAAAAACATATCCAGCATTCGCATCTTTATGTAAAATATAATAATTTTCATATGACATATTTTATATTTTTTCTAATTTAAAGTCTTTTCCTCGCGAAATAAAAAAAGTTTCTAGCTAAAAAATAAGTTCTTTCATAGAACATACATTTTCTTAGAAAATGTATCATAAGGTAAAGTTGTTTTCCCTCATAAAACAGCGCTGTAAAAATGGCTCTCTTCCACGAACTCGTTTTTTAGACTAAGAGATTCCTTCAGGTATGCGCATTGTGTGTGAAGTGAAAATTGTCGCGTTTCTGTCGTTCGATACAATCTTGCAATTCGATTTGGTCACGTACTCAGGTCGTTCTCGTATATGAATCGGCTTCTGCGAATTCCTGAAAAGGAATCTGATTTCTAACGACGTTTCACTCGGCGGAAAATGCATTTTGCCAGCCATGATTGCGGAGATTGCCAGTAGTACCGGTCGCGGTTTGCCTGCACGCCAGACTTCTCTCTCGTAGAATGACTAAAAAGAATGTAGCAGTAGACGGCGGATACTCGCATTTAAGTGGAGGCTAAAGCGCCTTCGGATCTGGTTGTATCCTACTCACGCGATTGCCGTTTCCTATCCGCTCGTTTGCATGTTGATTGTAACTTTTCGAGTTATGGTTCGACGAACTCCGACGTAACGATACTACAGTAGCTCCGATAATATTTTCGATCAATAACAAATATTTCTTCCATAACTATGTTTTCTTTTCTACGTCAAATAGGCGCTAATTTTTTTGTTGCTATTAAACAAAAATAAAATCGATGTTTATGTGATTTGAGTTCAAAATTTATATTTAAATAATAAGCTATATGAATTTTTATTGTCATATTTAAGTTTTTAATGAATTTTGACTGCCCATAATTAAATTATTTCATTGTTTTGCTTTATGCTGCTATGACTACTGAATTTTCGATAAAGCGCGGGTCGATCGCAGGTGACGATGTGGGCGATTTTACTGCTGTTGGCCTCCATGTGGTCTTCGTCATGGGGTCAGGTGATAAACAGGGCGCCCCACTTCGTTCAAGGTGGAGATATGGCCAGGTTGGCTGTGTCAGAGGGTACACTACCTGGTGCTCCCGTTTATACTCTTCGAGGGGAAGATCCTGAAGAATCCAGATTGCATTATTCTATCAGCGGCGAATACTTTACCGTGAACAGGGACACCGGTGTAGTGATCCTGAGGAAAGCCTTAGATAGAGAAACACAAGATCTCATTGAAGTCATTATTAGTATAACAGGTAACGTTACACGTGCAATTATTATTATGTAATAATACAATCGTATATTAATATACCTTTTAATTTTTAAGTTAATAAATAATTTTTATTAACTTTGATTTTACAAAATCAGAGTTATTAAAATTTCGTGATGTAGCAGATTTCTTTAATACTTAATTAATTATTTATGTTGATGTTTATTAACTGATGTACAATGAAGTCGTTTATTTTATCAAATCGTAATAAGAAAGCTCAATCCAATTTTTTAAGAATAAATTTTTATTTGTTCCAGATGAAGGTATTGCCGGGTCGGAACCTAACACGGTATCCCTTCGTCGTGAAATAGCCGTGCTCGACGAAAATGATAATTCACCAGTTTACCACGGCCGACCATACGCCGCCAGAGTGCCGGAAAGTGCGCAAGTGGGTGGCTTATTACTTCCTCCAGGCACGATCACGATTACTGATCGTGATGGTGGTGTGAACGCCGATATTCACGTGCAATGTGTCTCGGCGTCACGCGACGATGACGTCTGCGAGGTCTTCGACGTCTCTACAGAGAAGGTAATTAATTTGTTATTAATTTAATTAATAATTAATTTCTAATAAAAAAAATGAAATTAAAAAGTTAAATTAAAGATTAAGTTTTTCAAAAAATTAATAAAAGGTGGTTTATTGAGATTATTGCAACTTGTTTTAGCTTACTGAAGGAAAATACGACGTGCAGATTACGTTAGCGAAACCGTTAGATTACGAGAGGAGAAATTCATATTTGATTAATCTGCTGGCTATTGATGGAGCTAGCGATCCTTTGAAAAGGTTGCAGGCTAGAGCGACCGTTGCCGTTGACGTTCTCGACGTTCAGGTAAGTAGGTCTCGATCATTACTGAAATAACAGTACGCAGAACCGGCGGGAGTCTTACATTGAATAATAACATCATTTGCGATAAAATTAGCAGGGAATCATCAACTTGTTATTCAATCTTTGTCTGTCAGCACGAACACTATCAAGTGATGACCAATCTCGGTCGTCTAAGCGAATAACGCTTAGGATTCGTTTACATTAAAATAAGTGCTTTAGTTTTTTATCTCACGTTTTTTACATCACTTCTAGTATTTCGTTTTTATATTAATTATATTAATTAAAATTCGATTTCACACTTTTATAAATATTAATTTAAATCTAATCTAAAAATATTAAACAATAGAAATTAGTTAACTAATAACTAATAGCAAAAAACAAAATTATAAATTTACCTTATGAGAACGTGATACTATTTAATTTTTAATAGTAGAAATAAAAAATATATTAGCAGCAATAAATAAAGTATAGACGTTTGCAAGACTTGAAGAAACTTCGAAGTAAGCAATTTCTCACAGAAAGCTATAATTAAACAGATGAATTTTTGCATAAATTTCTCGTGCAGGATCAGCCACCTGTTTTCCTGAATGCGCCTTACAGTGCAGCGCTTCCGGAGAACACCGCAGCTAGTCACACGGTTCTGATAGTGCGAGCACGTGACGGTGATACCGGTGAATCGAGAAACCTATTATTAACGTTAGACGATGACGATGCCGGCCATTTTGATCTTGAGATGTCTCGCGATGGTGATGTTACGATTGGTAAGCTGGTCACGACCAACGTATCCCTCGATCGCGAAGATCCCAGGATTCTGCAGAACGGTGGCATTTACACCTTCCAAGTTCGAGCCACCGAGTTGATTAACAACGAAATACCAGCTGATACCGCGACGTCGGTCGTCACGATCGTCGTCACGGACGTGGATGATCTCGTGCCTGCTTTCAATGAGGATTACTTCAGCATCAGGATCTCCGAGGACATCGGAAAGGACACTCCTCTACCAGGTCATTAAATTGGATAGAAATTGTGTTTTGCTTGCTTAAAATTAAATACTTGATAAATATATTAATATTTTCAATTGGGATTTTCTGTATTTCTTATTTTTAATTTTCTATTTTTGTTCCTTCTTTGAGAAGATTTTTATTAACAATATCATAATTAAATAGGTCTGAACATGATTGTAAGCGATGGCGACGTGGGCGACAATGCGAAATATTTCCTGGCGTTGCGGGATGTGCCGCGATATCCTGGAATCAGTAAAGCATTCACTGTTAGTCCTGAGGAAGCTCAGGGTCGAGTACCGGTGGTGATCAAGGCTAAAGATGTCAATGTTCTTGATTATGATGTTGACGATCCCGCAAAAAGAGAAATTGAATTCGACGTCATCGCGACCGTAGCGAGCGAAGTAGTAAGTTTCTTAAATACAATATTAAAAAATATCTTCACATAATTTAATTACATTAATAAATTAATAATTAATTTATAACGCAGTAATTAAAAAATTATAATTAAAATAATTTTTAAATATATACTGAGTGAAATATTCCTTAAAACATTAAATAGGAATATTTAATTATTTTGTATGAAATTTTCTCGTTGATCATTTTACTAACAAGAATCTTACAGAATTATTTTTTCATATTACAGGTAGCCACTTGCAGAGTACACATCCAGTTGATGGATGCCAACGATCACAGTCCCGAATTCTCCCGATCGGTGTACAAATTATCGATCTCGGAGGATGCGGAGCCTGGCACTCGCTTTGGCGATGTTTACGCGAAGGATTACGACAGCGGTTCCTTTGGCAAATTAACGTATACTCTACGGGGTTTCGGCGCAGACAAGTTTAAGACCGATCCGCAGAAGGGCGGAGTATTCGTGGCGAAGAAACTAGACTACGAAGCGCAGAAATCTTATTCCTTAACGATGGAGGCGATGGATGGCGGCGGTCGAGTTTCCGCCGTTAATATTCTGATTGAACTCGACGATGTTAACGATAATAAACCGATGTTCGAGCAGACGGAGTATTCTAGAACTATCCGCGAAGATGCTACCAGCTTCGATCCGCAGATGTTCGTCAGAGCAACCGATCTCGACGGACCGGCACAGGGCAATGGAAAAGTTGTATATTCAATTAGTCGACACAATAGTATGACAGACGATTGTTTTTAAGGTTTGTTTATTTTCATTTTCAATTTTTTTAAAATCAGTTATTAATTTTTCTTATTAGAATATTTTTTTCTTTATATTCTTAAGAATCTTTTTCTTAATATTTTATTCTATATAGATGCAATTGCTAAATTTTACGATAAAGCTAGATAATATTTTGTGACAAATTCTTTAACATAAACTTTACAGATCAATTCGGATTCTGGTGAAGTAACCATGTCGAAACCGGTTCGGTCCGGAGACACCGAAAGGGGTACTTACGAGCTAATAATTCGTGCGACTGATACCGGCACACCTCCCTTATACTCCGAAGCGAAACTTTTCGTACGCGTTGGCGTACCTGGAAACCAGAAACCTATATTCCGAGGAAACTACAAGTCAAACTTACCTGGTCCAAGTACTTATCGAGCGAGACTCTTGGAGAACGCATCTCCCGGAACAGAAGTGATTCGGGTGGTCGCCAATGATCCCGACGGAAGAGACAACTTATTGCAGTATTACATTGCATCTGGTTCTAAGGATAATTTTGTTATCGATTCCAGGTGCGTTATAAAATTGATTAGATAATTTAATATAATGCTAGAATTTACAATCTCTTTATGTAAGCTTTCTTCTTTGCTGTTTTTATTTTAATTATTTTGTTCTGTTATTTGAACTCGTAAAACTTGATATAGCTAAGATACAAGATAAAGATAAAGATTGATATTAGTAAAGTTAGTAAGATAGGCTGGTTTACAGTTCTGGCATTATAACTGTGTCACCTGATGCTCGCTTGGATCTGGAAGCTGGTGGTGAAAAATACGAGGTCATCGTATACGCCGTTGATTCTGGCACACCTGTTAAGGAAACTGCCACTACCACCGTCACGGTGAATATTATAGATGTGAATAATAAACCGCCGACATTTAATGAATCAACGTATCTGGTTTATGTCTCAGAACGAGCAGCTATTGGTAGGTTGCTCCTAAAAAAAAAATTGCTTATTAAAAATTAGTGTAATATTTATTTTTTAAATAGTTATACTTTAAATTAAAAATTTGAGATTCTAATTAAAGATTCTAGGTTTTTTAAATTTAGGTATCAATAAATATCTTTAAAATTATTATTATTATTTTTATAATTGTGGCATATTAACTTTACTCTTCTTTTCTTTAATTATCTGTTATTTTTTTAATTCAAGTTACTTGCACTTAAAAATATTATTATGTACAGGTGAACCTGTATTAAAGGCGGTGGCGATAGATCCTGATGCAGATGCGTATTTAGAATACTCTTTAGTAGAACCAATAAGGGCTGTCGACAAAACCGGTGTGGCTTTAAAAAGTACAGCCACTTACGATTATAAATCGGCGTTTCGAATAAATTCCACGACCGGTTTAATAACCGTTAATCGAGTGCTAGATTATCAAGTGGCCGCTGTCATAATATTAACGGTACAAGCAAAAGATTTAAACGCCATCGTTGACAGAGACAAACAGACGGCGAGAGTAGAGGTGACAATCTATATCCAGGCTTACAGCGATGACAATCCAATGTTCACCAATTCTGGGTGGTCACCAAATAATCCGACGATAAGACTCACGGTTCCAGAAGAGCAACCCTTGGGTACGACATTATTAATGTTATCGGCGAAAGAACCGACGACGGGACATGCGGTTCAGAGGTTCGAATTAGTCAGAGAAGACGATGATGAAGGCTATGTTAATGTGGGTGTTCAGAGTGGCAACGTCGTGCTAAGTAAGAGATTGGATTACGAAGTGCTTAATCAGAAGGTAAGAAATTTTAATTTGTGACAAACAGAAATCAAATATTTTATAATAAAACATTCTGAAAATCTGAAATAGAATAAAATTTTTTACGATTATTTTGATATTGATATAATTTCTGATAAAAATGCTTTATTATTATTTGTATTATATTAATAATAAGAATAATATAATAAATTTATATTATATTTTATCTTGACTTTTATTTTGATTCTATATTATAAGTATATTTCGATTTCGTTTACAGTTCATTCGGTTCAAAGTACGAGCGCTTGCGAGAGACTACGATATAACGCGAAAGATGTCGGAAGCCAATGTAATTGTCGAGATTCAGGATATTAATGACAATAGTCCAGAGTTTAATCAAAAGGATTATAAGATTTCTGTATTAGAGTCAGCTAATTCCTCGAATGCCATATTAAACGTGAAGGCAGTGGATATGGATAGCTCTAAAACAGAACAGGAAGTCCAAAGAGGATATGGCGAAGTAAGATATTCCTTGGCAGGCGAAAACGCCAATCTTTTTGAAGTCGATCCTATCATGGGCAGCATTCAGGTAAAATTCATTTTAATTATTTTTATTCTAATTTAAATTCAAATTAGAATAAACAAAGCGTCAAAAGAATAAAAAAATAACATATTTAAGAAATTCTATTTTTTCTTATCTAAATTTTAAACATTAAGTCTAAAACATATTTAAAAAAATAATTAAAGTTTTTAATTATTTCTCTATATAGTTTTTATATTTTTATCAGAATAAATACCGAAAGAAATAATTTATAGATCGCCACAAACACAACTCTGGATAGAGAAAGACAATCGGTATTGCGCTTTTACGTCGTGGCATCGGATATGCCCCAAGGTGGAGCCGAGCAACGGAGCAGTCGAGCTTTGGTGACGATCGACGTTCTCGATGTTAATGATAACACTCCTAGTTTTGAACAAGAGTCTTACACCGCGGTGATTCCGGAGAACGCACCGGTGGGAATTAGCGTGGTGAACATCACAGCTACTGATCCGGACGAAGGCGAAGGCGGAGTGATACACTTCGAAATCATCGATGAAGGTGAAGCTAATGGTAGGATCAAATGTTATACGTAACTAGAATGTTTTCGATTTTCTGAAATATATATGTATAAAGAACACAATTGAAGTTAAAATTAATGTAGAAATTCAGGGATATCTTTTTTATAAATAATTATGAAAAAGAATTAATAATTTAAAATAGAAGTTAATTACTTTTCAAGAAAAAATATAAAAAGAATAATTTGCTGGATATTTATGTTATGTTATTGATCGTTTTCAGGATTATTTAAAATAAATCACACGACGGGCGAGATTTATTCGGCGCGAGCGTTGACTGGAAAAGGCAGAACCGAACCGTACAACATGCGAGTGCGAGCGCAGGACAACGGCGAACCGTCTTTATATTCAGACGTCAATCTTATCCTGTACATTGGTGACGTAGTGAGCAACGACGGCGTGCCATTGTTTATCAGGCCGACATTAGAGGAAATAGCCTACATCGCGGAGAACTCCACCGTCGGCAGTCCGGTGTTCCAGGTGGTAGCGTCCGATCCCGATGATCCAAACTTGCCAAATGGTAGAATCACTTTCCGTTTCCTAGAGGATGGTAATTTTGGCAAAGATGCGAGTGCTTTTAGGATTAACAGCGACACCGGGTTAATTAGCACACGCAAATTACTTGATCGAGAAACCAAGGACAGTTATACATTGATACTGGTAGCACAGGATCTCGGCGAGCCGCCACAGCAGGCGACCAGGGTGCTTCAGGTGATCGTGAACGATATCGACGATCACAAACCACATTTCAAACGTAGTTTAGATAGTCCGCCGATTGAATTAAATGTCCTAGAAGAAGTCCCGGTAGGATCTAAAGTCGGCGTGATTGAAGCGATTGACGAGGATATTGGTGAAAACGGAATGATTGGTTACGAGATCGTGTACGGGAACGAGGCAGGACTGTTCGTGGTACAACGTCTAGAAAATAATTCCGCGGTTATCAAATCAAACGGTCGGCTCGACCGAGAAACCGCTGAATCTCATTTACTGACCATAAAGTGCTTCAAATATTCTTCTAAAAAGTCGGACATAGTGCCGAAACCGTACAACAGACAGGATCCTTCAGAGAGACAGGTGCTCGTTAAGGTCTTGGATATCGACGACAATAAACCGCGCTTCAAGAAGAACAATGTAACCCTGGGGGTTCGCTTGAATGTGCCAATCGATACCAGCTTGATCACGTTGGAAGCTTATGACGCCGATTCCAGCGCGTTGCCCATCAATTACAACATGAGTAAAGTATCCTTCACGTCTCTGGTTGATCCCTCCATGTCGCAGAAGGAGATTCCATCGCAACTGTCCTTGAATGCGCGCACTGGCGAGCTCAGAACGACGGGCTCCATGACGGGATATGCGGACGGTTTTATGGAAATGATCGTGTCGGCGAACAATTCAGTGACGCCGGGGAGTGAGACTAATATCACCTTAAGAATCTTCTTGTTGCGTGATCGTGACATGTTGAAGTTCGTGTTTTCGAAGCCGCCAGTCGAGGTCAGGAAGACGCTGGAAGAGTTTGAAAAAGCGGTCCAGCAAGCTCTTTCGTTGCCGATCAGCGTTAACGTCTATGACACTCAATTCTATTCGAAAGAGGACAATTCCCTGGATTTTTCATCGACCAGTTCGTGTTTCCAAATGGTTGGCAAAGAGTCCTACGATTTAGACGAAATGCGATTATTATTAACTGATCCAAGGAATAAAGAGTTGAAGAAGGTGTACAAGACATACCACGTGGAGAAAGTGCAACATTGTGCTGCCGTTGTAGCTCGCGCCGATGCCTCCATGACACAAATATGGGTTCTTGCCATCGCGGTCCTCGTTGGGATCGCTACCATAATTTCTAGTTGTGCATTATGTTGTATGCACGCCAGGTAACTGTCAACTATCATTGTTAATTAATAGTAGTTTATATATATATAAATAATAGCATATGCCTTTAAAAATAAAATCTATTTTTTGGCAGTAATACATTTTCTATAATTTATTTTAACTTTTAACGTTTTTCTTTTCTCTTAATATTACTGTAATATTAAACTTAAATATTTTTTATGTAGTTAATATGTTATTAATTTTGTTTTATTATAAAAATACTAATTTACTTTTATTCATCATTTCATTGACAAGTAAAATGTTAAAAGGAAAATATTATATACTGCATTTTCTTTTCAGGTATAAACGGCAAGTAAAGCACGCGCGTTTGCGTGATCAACCACGACCACCTCTCAGTTATGTGTCCTCCGGGCCAGCCATGGTCAGTTCCGGATCTCATACAACTTTAGGTCCTGGTACGATGGTCACTCTGGGTCCACACGAGGGCCCATATGAATGGGGCGCCGACACGACGCTTTATCATCCAAGTACATTGGGTTCGAGAACGTAGATATCCAAGAAAATTCATTACAAAAATATCTTTAAATTACATTGACTTTTTTTTAGTTAGTGGAGTTTAATTGACAGTAAATTGTTTCATTATTAAACAGGAGCAAATTCTATCATGACATATGTAATATTTATTCTGAAATTATAAAAAAACAATTTTAATAAAAGTTTAATAAAATGAGATACTTTTGTGTATAATTCTAGCAAGTTTTGAAAACAAACAACATAGTGTCTGATAAAAAATTAACAATAGTAATTTATGAACTTGTCATAAAGAAGAGTTGAAAGAAGAGAAAATAGATGGTGCTATACTTATAATGTAAAAAGTAATGTATGATTTAAGACGTGCGTACAATGAAATATATGATTTGTAAAATTTGACAATGTATTATCCTTAAGTATTTTTAAGATTAGGTTAATTTCGAATGCAGAAGTAAAGTGTATATTTTACACATACTGTGCTTGTGGTATAATTGAAAAAACTTCAAGCGTTTTTCATTGTAATATAATGTAATATTATGTTCGTATTTAAAAAGTAAAGTTGTACATTTTATAGTTGACAATATATATTTTTAAATTTGTATAAACTAATTTTGATTTTTAGTTCTGTGTTTAAATATTTAATAAAAAAGATACGATGTATACATCTACCTGTTCATCCACATTTACGACAAATTATTTATCACACATTATTATTACATATATCTTATTCATGTTGTTATTACTTTTTATAAACTACTTTACATATATGAAATTAATTTTTATACGTATATAAATGTATATAAAGAAATTTATATATATAAGATAAATATATGTGAAAAAGTTATTATTTCATTAAAATTGCTAGGAATATAATTACATTGTCTAAAATTTTATTTGTTTACAAAAGTCAAAATATATTATTAAACATAAATTTATTTAAATTTTATTTTTCTAAATTGATTTAAACTTTTTCAAAGTTTGCTATAATGTAATAGAATTTTTATGCGAAATAACCTTCTGAATTACTTCGCATGAACAACTTTCTAGCTGTTTTGATAATTTCGTCTCGTAAACGTGCAACCCATCACATTCGCAATGGTAATTGCCTATGAGGCAATCTTTAGTTAAGCGACGAATATCTTCTCGCTGGAGATCACGCGAGATTTCCGAATGCCTTCGACAGAAATGTCAAGGCGAGGAAGCAATCTGAGCTGGATTCAAGCAGATTCAAACACGTTATTGAAATATTTGTCTGGTTATGTGAAAAACACGTTGATGTTCTTTTTTTCAAAACTGCTTAATACATAATAAAAAACAAGTCACTTTCCTCATCACTAATTAATGAGTTTGTTGCACGATTATTGAACCCAGTCAAAATTTACATATACCATGTAACATGTATCCTTGTAGATACATGTTATAGCTTCACTATATGTTAATGATATTTTTTGCTTTTTCCTTCGGCATAAAATATTCTTTCTAAATTAATCCACAAATTTTTTAATTAATCCTGACGAAGATGTTCTGATTAAACTACAAAAATATATTTCATCAAAACAAAATTATTGTAACAATCGTATACATAAAGATACGTTCGATGATTTATTTATGTAACAACTATGTGATGTGGTTTTCGCTTATATAACATCAGAGTGTCTCGAACATTCAATTATCAAGAGATATTCGACAGTCTTTCCTTACAAATCATTTCTTCGATAATTATACTTTCAATTTAATCAACGTAAGAGGCTGAAGCGCTGAGATCCTTCGAAAGATCGATGCTTTTGTTCGTGTTGGCCTTCAGGCTGTCGATTATTGTTGTATCGTTGCAATTCGCGCAATCTTTCCCTGTAGTCACAATAATGTTTCGAGTGTTAATTTCATACTTCTCCGTGCTAGCATAATCTTCGTCGATGATTAATTTATGATTGGAAAGCACTGCAATATCTCTCACGATATCGTTGTTATTAGCCAGATTCGAATAGATTCCTGAATCATTGTTTAATATAAAATCTCTCCCCTTGTCATTCTTATCATCTAAACTCATCTCGTGATATCGCGTTAATGGAAAACTAGTTGTCTCTGAGTTTTGATTTTCCTCGAATCTTGACTCTTCAATTGCGGAATGATCAGTTAAATGTTTAGCGATCGATTCCAACGGAGACATTATTTTCTTCGCGAATTCCTGCTGCTCTTCCGGTTCCATCAATTCCGATCTGTGAATGATATCGTTTCTAAAAATAAAATTAAAAATATTAAAATTAATTAAAATTAAAATTATTAAATTCAAAATCAAGTTGAATCTTTTTATAAAAACATAAAATAATAAAATAAATGAAAGAAAAAATTAGCAACTAATGATGAGTTTTTAAAAAAGAGTACCTGCTGAGCTTATTCTTCTTACGAGGATACAAGTTTAAATGAAATATCATTTGTTGTCTTTCCTCTTCTTCCGATGTGGGTGTAGGCATAGCCACAAGGGGTATAGATTTTGGGGGTGAGGCGTAGAATTTTGGTCCACGATATTGGATGGGTCTTCTAATATCATAATCGTCTATGGCTGCTGCTTGCGGCCTTGGCCACGTTGTCTTCTTATTCTGCTCCATAATGTCAGTAATGGGATAAATGTCGAGCATTACGCTAAACGGCTTCGGTTTTCGACTCTTCCCCAATGTGTTCGTCGAGTAGGAGTCAACGGTCTCGTACTGCGGCTCCGTCACGATCGGTTTATTGTAGCTAACTAAAGGTCGGGAGTATATAGGATCATAGTAAGGACTATATCGATGTATTCCGCTCGGAGAGAATCTAAAAAAAATAATTAGGATTAATTAGCAGATATTAATTATAATACCAATTTATTTATTAAATAAAAAGTTATGTATTTTATTATAAAATGAAAGATAATTCTGTA